CATGGCAAGTCCATCCTCATTATTCATCTTTATTTTGTTAGAAATTCTCATCCATTTATCTACTCAGATAATCTTTAGTGTGTAAACACACACATACACACACATTTATCAGAGATTATCTAAAAATGAATATATTCTAATAATATTCTGGATTTTTCTATAAATTCTTTTGGGAAGAAGAGGATGCTTTACCATATACGCATTTTTATTAAGGGCCATAATACGGTGCTTTGTTTATTTACACCTATTATGTCTCTCAGTAAAATGTCATTGTTTGTTTTTTTTCCTACGAGTCTTGATTGTTTCTGTCACGTTTATAGGAAAGCTATTGATTTTTATATATTATTTTGTATTTAGCCACTCAAGTTCAATTATGAATTAAAATACTTTTTAAGTTAAGATTTAAAAATTTTCTCTAAATGTCATCATTTCCTCCACAGTAATTACATATTTTATATTTTTCATTGTCTCTCTACTTGATGAGAACTTCCGGAGTCATGTTACTATCTGTATTGGGAAGTCATGTTTTAGTCATGATTTCACTTAAAATTCTTATAGTATTTCATTGTTAAGAATAATTTGGCTGTTCGTTTATGGTATTCTTAAAAGTTTTCTTAATTACAGAAAATAATGCACATACAGAAAGGTGGATAAAGCATCCACGTCCAGGTTAATGCATTATCATAAAGTACGCACCGATGTCTCACAATAATTGTGTTATTTGCTGAGATTTTTGATAATTTTTATCGGATAAAAGAAGCTCCACTCTTATTTTGCTAAGAATTTTTTTAAAATCTTGAATGGGTGTTGAATTCTATCAAGTACTTTTGTCTGTATCTATTGAGATGATCATATGATTTTCCTCCTTTACTCTATAAATGTGACGTACCCAGATTATACTTGATTTTCTAATGTTCAAACCATTTTGCATTCTTGGCATAAACCCACCTAGGTGATGACACATTATCCTTCTTATATATCCTTGGATTCAGCTTGCTGATTTTTGTTTCGTACTTTTGCGTTTATGTTCATGAGCGATATTTGCCCATAATATTTCTTTCTTGCTCTGCCCTCGTCAGGTTTTGGCATCGAGATTATGATACTCTCATTAAGTGAACTTGGGTTGCATACTCTTTTTCTTTGTTCTGGAATGTTTTGTAAGATAGACATTATTTCTTCCTTGTTTACTAGATATCTCCACTGATAACTGTATAGATCAAGAGTTTTCTTTTGTGGAGTTTTTTTTTTTTAAGTAGATTTTATTTAAATAATTGTAGAATTACTCAGGTTTTCTATTTCTTTTTGTGCTAACTTTAGCATATTGTTTTTGCTAGAAATCTGTTTAACCCATCTAAAATTTCAAATTTATTGACATAAATTTATTTAGCTATCATTTTATTGTCCTATCTCTTTATTATCTTCTCCCCTTATTATCTTTTTAATATGTGTAGGGTATATAGTGGTGTCCCCCTTTTCATTCCTAATATTGATTACTTAGATCTTCTTCTTTCTATCATAAATAGCTTGCTAGGGCTATTTGTTTGTTTGTTTGTTTGTTTATTTTAAAGCAACATTTGGCTTTATTGATCTTCTCCATTGTATTTTTTGTACATTAGTAATTTTTTTTGGTACATAATTAATTTAAAATTATTAATTATTTTTTGTACATAATTAATTTCATTATTTCCTTCCTTCTACTTTCTTCTTTTCCTCCTACTCTTCCTTCTGTTGTTTTTCTAACTTTTGAGATAAATGTTCGACTTATTAAATTTCAGTCCTTTTTTTCTTTTCAAGGATATGCATTTAATGCTATAAAATGTCCTTAAGCACAACTCTAGATGTATCCCACAAGATTTTTTAAATTAAGGTATAATTTATATACAGTGAAATGTATAGATTCTAAGTACAGTTCTATGAGTTTTGACAAATGCATTTATTTAACTTAAAACTCTTATCAAGATAGAGAACATTTCCATCACCCAGAAAGTTCCCAAGTACCATTCCCCATCTTTCCCCACCGACAAATCTCTTGTAACTTCTATCACTAGAGATCAATTTGCCTATTGTGGAACTTCACATAAATAGGATAATAAAATGTGTTCTCTTTTGCATCTGTCTTTTACTCAGCCTGTTTTTGAGATTCATCCATGCTGTTTTGTGTATCGCTGGTTCACTCCTTCTGACCTTTCGTAGATGCCGTTGTTATGAATATGCCACTATTTGTTTGTTTAGTTTCCTGTTGTGGTTATTATGAATAAAGCTAATATGAAAATTTTTTGATGGACATTAGATGAAGATTTAGAGGTGGAATTGCTAAGTGGTAGGGTAGATGCATACTTCATTTGATAAGAAATTGAAAAACACTTTCCCAGTGTTCCAAAGTAATTGTATCATTTTATATTCCTACTAGCAAGGGATGAAGAATTCCAGTTGTACTATATTTTCTCCAACATTTGTGACATCGGTTTTTAAAATCCGAGCCATCTAGTGGGTTTTAGGTGGTATCTTACTGCAGTTTTAATTTGCATTTCTTGACAACTAATATGTTGAACACTTTTTACGTGTCAGTGGACATTCGGATATCTTTTGTGAGGTGTCCGTTAAGTCTTTTGCATTTTAAAAGATTGGGCTGTTTTATTTTTATTTTTGAGTTATAGGAGTTTTTTTTTTTAACATATTTTGGACATTAGTTTTTAAATAAATATTTATATATTGTGTATAAAAACTGTAGACTATCAGAATCTCTGGCAAAGCCAAATTCAAAGTAATGATAGCTGGAGACTATTGACCACAAACAGATAGACCTGCACTACCAGGTAGACGCTGGCGAGGAACAAAAATGGGCCGCACACTCGAATCTGCTTTCTGTGACATCCGCAGGGAACTAGACAATGACACACTGCCCTGCGACAAAAGACGAGTTTTCAAATTTTCTTTTGCTACTTATGAAAAAATTTGTGTATCTCAAAGAAAAGACAACGCTCAGCTAAACATTCAAAAAAGAATAAACCTAAAAAGTATTTACAGGAAATAAAAATGCACCTGAAAATGGTTAACAGAAAACTAAAATTTGCGATGGGGGAGGAGAAAATCCTTTAAAAAACTTAATCTGATTACAGACAATATAAAACAAATACGAAGACTCATTACATTTTAATAAAAATGAAAACACTGTATAGCAAAACTACGTGACATAGCCAAAGCTGTATTCAAAAGCAAATTGTTAAGGAAAAGTCTGGCAGTTTCCCCCAAAATTAAATGGAAGTACCCTACGACTGAGCAATTCCACTTCTAGGTAAATACCCTCAAATACTCAAAACACATATCCAAGCAAAAACATGTACAGGAATATGCATAGTGGCATTATTCACAACAAGGGAAAAGTTTGGCAGTTTCCCCAAAAATTAAATGGAAGTATCCTACGACTGAGCAATTCCACTCCTAGGTAAATACCCTCAAATACTAAAAACACATATCCAAGCAAAAACCTGTACAGGAATATGCATAGTGGCATTATTCACAACAGCGAAATGTGGAAACAACCAAATGTCATCAACGGGTGAACGGATAAACAAAATATGGCCTGTCCATACAATGGAATAGTATTCAGCCATAAGAGGAACGAAATACTGACACAAGCTACAGCCTGGATGGACCTGGATGAACACATATGT